GGGGGGGATCTCCGGCAATGTGCCCCGATATCATCTCATCGCACAGACCCCACTGGCTGAGGAGACCTTCCAGGGCCATGACCTTCAGAAGGTCACTGACAGCATATGGGTCAGGCAACTCTTCTGTCACTGCGGGGACCCTCCCTCCTTCCTGGGCACTGTAATTCCTTCCACCATCCCCTATGATGTTCCCTGCGCCCCCCTAGGTGCTTTGGTTCCTTCCACTGTCTCTTATGGAGTGTCTCGTGTCCCCCTGCTGAGCGCTTTGGTTCCTTCCATTGTCCCCTATGGAGGACCCTGGTCCCCTGCGGTTCCTTCCATTGTCCCCTATGGAGTGCCCTGGTCCCCTGCGGTTCCTTCCATTGTCCCCTATGGAGTGCCCTGGTCCCCTGCTGAGCGCTTTGGTTCCTTCCATTGTCCCCTATGGAGTGCCCTGGTCCCCTGCTGAGCGCTTTGGTTCCTTCCATTGTCCCCTATGGAGTGCCCTGGTCCCCTGCGGTTCCTTCAATTGTCCCCTATGGAGTGCCCTGGTCCCCTGTGGTTCCTTCCATTGCCCCCTATAGAGTGCCCTGGTCCCCTGCTGGTTGCTGCGGTTCCTTCCATTGTCCCCTATGGAGTGCCCCCGTCCCCCTGCTGGGCTCTGTGGTTCCTTCCACCATCCCCCATGCCACTACTGTGTCTTGTACCAATGTAGGGGCCTGAAATCTGACATTCCCAGCACCGTGCTGAACGTTGAGGGGCATCGGCGGGTTCTTCTTCTGGCAGCATTGGGAGGAGAGGCGAGTGACGGCATGAGAACCTGGTGTGAGGGTACCTGGAGGACGGCGAGCACTCTGGAGAGAACTTTCCTCGCGGTCAGGGCGACTTTCCTCCATCGTTCGGCTCTACAAATAGCGGGAAGGGAGAGCAGCCAGTCCACCGTGGCCCGGCAACGATGGTCCGGCTCCAGCATGGCACCCAGAACCTTCAGGAAATCCGGCGGGAGTTCTGGAAGACACGAGAAGAGTCATCATACAAAGGATTCCTCCTCACTTCCTGTCACCAGTCGCTGGAACAGGAAGTGAGGGGGGAGCCCCTTCCCAGGAGTACACACAGGTCCGTGGCATGGAAACTCACGTGAGGTGAAGTCTGTAGGAAGGTGACCCCGCCGGAGCTGCTGCCAGCTCTCCCCGCCCTTCGGCAGCTCCATGTTACAGGCGACCTCCAGCAGTGTCATGCCGAGGCTGGAAGAGGAGGACACAGGGACGTCAGGTGATAGAACATACATGTCACCAACCCAACCAATGTCCTCAGACTGCCCAGAGACGTCCCACCAACCAGAGACGTCCCTCAACCAGAGAGATCCCACCAACCAGAGAGATCCCACCAACCAGAGAGATCCCACCAACCAGAGACGTCCCCCAACCAGAGACGTCCCCCAACCAGAGAGATCCCACCAACCAGAGAGATCCCACCAACCAGAGAGATCCCACCAACCAGAGAGATCCCACCAACCAGAGAGATCCCACCAACCAGAGACGACCCACCAACCAGAGACGTCCCCCAACCAGAGACGTCCCACCAACCAGAGACGTCCCACCAACCAGAGACGTCCCACCAACCAGAGACGTCCCACCAACCAGAGACGTCCCACCAACCAGAGACGTCCCACCAACCAGAGACGTCCCACCAACCAGAGACGTCCCACCAACCAGAGACGTCCCACCAACCAGAGACGTCCCACCAACCAGAGACGTCCCACCAACCAGAGACGTCCCACCAACCAGAGACGTCCCACCAACCAGAGACGTCCCACCAACCAGAGACGTCCCACCAACCAGAGACGTCCCACCAACCAGAGACGTCCCACCAACCAGAGACGTCCCACCAACCAGAGACGTCCCACCAACCAGAGACGTCCCACCAACCAGAGACGTCCCACCAACCAGAGACGTCCCACCAACCAGAGACGTCCCACCAACCAGAGACGTCCCACCAACCAGAGACGTCCCACCAACCAGAGACGTCCCACCAACCAGAGACGTCCCACCAACCAGAGACGTCCCACCAACCAGAGACGTCCCACCAACCAGAGACGTCCTACCAACCAGAGACGTCCCACCAACCAGAGACGTCCCACCAACCAGAGACGTCCCACCAACCAGAGACGTCCCACCAACCAGAGACGTCCCACCAACCAGAGACGTCCCACCAACCAGAGACGTCCCACCAACCAGAGACGTCCCACCAACCAGAGACGTCCCACCAACCAGAGACGTCCCACCAACCAGAGACGTCCCACCAACCAGAGACGTCCCACCAACCAGAGACGTCCCACCAACCAGAGACGTCCCACCAACCAGAGACGTCCCACCAACCAGAGACGTCCCACCAACCAGAGACGTCCCACCAACCAGAGACGTCCCACCAACCAGAGACGTCCCACCAACCAGAGACGTCCCACCAACCAGAGACGTCCCACCAACCAGAGACGTCCCACCAACCAGAGACGTCCCACCAACCAGAGACGTCCCACCAACCAGAGACGTCCCACCAACCAGAGACGTCCCACCAACCAGAGACGTCCCACCAACCAGAGACGTCCCACCAACCAGAGACGTCCCACCAACCAGAGACGTCCCACCAACCAGAGACGTCCCACCAACCAGAGACGTCCCACCAACCAGAGACGTCCCACCAACCAGAGACGTCCCACCAACCAGAGACGTCCCACCAACCAGAGACGTCCCACCAACCAGAGACGTCCCACCAACCAGAGACGTCCCACCAACCAGAGACGTCCCACCAACCAGAGACGTCCCACCAACCAGAGACGTCCCACCAACCAGAGACGTCCCACCAACCAGAGACGTCCCACCAACCAGAGACGTCCCACCAACCAGAGACGTCCCACCAACCAGAGACGTCCCACCAACCAGAGACGTCCCACCAACCAGAGACGTCCCACCAACCAGAGACGTCCCACCAACCAGAGACGTCCCACCAACCAGAGACGTCCCACCAACCAGAGACGTCCCACCAACCAGAGACGTCCCACCAACCAGAGACGTCCCACCAACCAGAGACGTCCCACCAACCAGAGACGTCCCACCAACCAGAGACGTCCCACCAACCAGAGACGTCCCACCAACCAGAGACGTCCCACCAACCAGAGACGTCCCACCAACCAGAGACGTCCCACCAACCAGAGACGTCCCACCAACCAGAGACGTCCCACCAACCAGAGACGTCCCACCAACCAGAGACGTCCCACCAACCAGAGACGTCCCACCAACCAGAGACGTCCCACCAACCAGAGACGTCCCACCAACCAGAGACGTCCCACCAACCAGAGACGTCCCACCAACCAGAGACGTCCCACCAACCAGAGACGTCCCACCAACCAGAGACGTCCCACCAACCAGAGACGTCCCACCAACCAGAGACGTCCCACCAACCAGAGACGTCCCACCAACCAGAGACGTCCCACCAACCAGAGACGTCCCACCAACCAGAGACGTCCCACCAACCAGAGACGTCCCACCAACCAGAGACGTCCCACCAACCAGAGACGTCCCACCAACCAGAGACGTCCCACCAACCAGAGACGTCCCACCAACCAGAGACGTCCCACCAACCAGAGACGTCCCACCAACCAGAGACGTCCCACCAACCAGAGACGTCCCACCAACCAGAGACGTCCCACCAACCAGAGACGTCCCACCAACCAGAGACGTCCCACCAACCAGAGACGTCCCACCAACCAGAGACGTCCCACCAACCAGAGACGTCCCACCAACCAGAGACGTCCTCCAACCAGAGACGTCCTCCAACCAGAGACTTCCTCCAACCAGAGAGATCCCACCAGCCAGAGAGATCCCACCAACCAGAGACGTCCCACCAACCAGAGAGATCTAGTTAGGACCGCACTATAAGAGGTGCCTTGGCGCGGCAGTGCGGCTTTCACATGTTCTGCAGAAGACGTGTATCCGAACCTCTGTCATTGTCCTTAGTGGTGAGACACGTTTTACATGCTGGTTTGTGAGTGTGCCATGACGCCTTTCTGCTGTTCAAAGCCCATTTCGTGTGCACCGCGCTGTATGACTGGTAAATTGTTGAGTGCGTTTGTCGTTTGTTTTGCTCCAACCAGAGACGTCCCACCAACCAGAGACGTCCCACCAACCAGAGACGTCCCACCAACCAGAGACGTCCCACCAACCAGAGACGTCCCACCAACCAGAGACGTCCCACCAACCAGAGACGTCCCACCAACCAGAGACGTCCCACCAACCAGAGACGTCCCACCAACCAGAGACTTCCTCCAACCAGAGAGATCCCACCAACCAGAGAGACGTCCCACCAACCAGAGACGTCCCACCAACCAGAGACGTCCCACCAACCAGGGACGTCCCACCAACCAGGGACGTCCCACCAACCAGGGACGTCCCACCAACCAGGGACGTCCCACCAACCAGGGACGTCCCACCAACCAGGGACGTCCCACCAACCAGGGACGTCCCACCAACCAGGGACGTCCCACCAACCAGGGACGTCCCACCAACCAGGGACGTCCCCCAACCAGGGACGTCCCCCAACCAGGGACGTCCCCCAACCAGAGACGTCCCCCAACCAGAGACGCCCTCCAACCAGAGACGTCCTCCAACCAGAGACGTCCTCCAACCAGAGACGTCCTCCAACCAGAGACGTCCTCCAACCAGAGACGTCCCCCAACCAGAGACATCCCCCAACCAGAGACGTCCCCCAACCAGAGCGGACCCATATTCCTCATTATAACAAGGTGCCTGGAGATAGATCTATGGACCAATCACATGAGGCGACTTCCCCATAACCAGGATCCTGGTCACTGCTCATTGGCAGGGGCACCAATAGGGTGGTACAGTCAGTTCCTCTGTACTGGGCCCCATCAGATCAGCAGGGGGGGCCCGGCAGGGGCTGCCTGTGGTTGTCCTCCCTGCACAGATACTAACACAGTGCGTCTTAGAGGCTCCGAGTGACTGATGGGACTTGTGAGCACTCTGCGGTGTCTCTGGTGGAGGGGCCCGGGTCTCTGGTGGAGGGGCCCGGGTCTCTGGTGGAGGGGCCCGGGTCTCTGGTGGAGGGGCCCAGGCACAGCAGGTTTTACATACATTGTGAAAGTCCACGTAGAAGGTTCTCCATTGGAAGGATTACAGGACAAGGCGTGGCCCTCCCCCTCCCCCTCACCTGAACACATCCGCGGCTTTGGTGAACACGCCATCCAGCAGTTCCGGGGCCATATATCGGGGGTCCCCCTCCTGGGCCTCCTTGTTCCCTTCTGCACCATCCAGCTCCACCATCAGCCCGAAGTCCCCCAACTTGTAGACCCCGGAGAAGGAGATGAAGACGTTGGCCGGTTTGATGTCCAGGTGCAGCAGATTGCGGTCATGGAGATGTTTCAGACCCCTCAGGAGGTCGCACGCAATGTCCCAGACCTGTCGGGGGGGCAGAGGGCCACCAAAATCCTCGGAGTGCTGCTGCAGGCTCCCCACGCACAGCTCCGTCTGCAGGTACAACATGCGTTTCTCCTCCCAGGCACGCACAAAGCGCAGGCAGTTGGGGTGTCCTCCGACGCGTTCGTGTTTTCTCACTTCCTCTAGTTTCCAATGGCGGTCGGACTCGCCGCGGAACGGAGACACGGAACGCTTCACGGCGTACAGGCACCCGTCCTCCCGGCTCCGCACCTTCAAGAGACTCAGAGTTACGACACATCCATATCGTACGGCTGGCCCAGCACAGGCTGCCAGCACCAGACCCCAGAGTCAGGTGCGGGCCCCCACTGAATGGGATCCTCAGTTGTCCCGACAGACCCACTGCAGAGTCCACCTACTGGACCACCATCCCCGTAGGCCGCCCCCGGTCCCCGTAGGCCAGCCCACCGTCCCCGTAGGCC